TCACAATGTCTGTATTTTAAGACAAATTAAGTGCCTTGTGCGCTCTTTTTTCCAACTGTAGTCAGCTTTCACGTTACGCATATAGCGCATGCGTCTTTCACCTCGAGTGAGCTCGGCACTTCCCCCGTGACATAAAACTCTTGTCTGTTGCTCTCATTAGCTACGTTTACATGGGCAAAAGTAATCGGATTAAACAACYGTTCAGAATAAAAATGCGTCATGTAAACACTTAATCAGATCATCTTATTCTGATTGTAGAAAACTGACCTGTGTGCATGTCTGCTGACTTTCATTCACCCGGTGGTACAGCAGCGCTCCAGCTGCACTGCACACCGCACAGAACTTTTCCTCCTCGCTCTCTTAACAGATGAAAAAGGAGGCAAACAGCAGACGTTGCTTCGCAAAAAATAAAAAAACACATATTGCTTCATCTGCAGGCTGCAGCTCAACCGAGGAGTAACGGCGTCTCTGCAGTTATTAAAAGCTGGCACGGGCATCAAAGTCCATATACTTTATCCATCTGTGTTCGCTTCTAAAACGGTTTAACTCGTTTAGCTTCTCAATTTCTTAACTGGTTTTCTTCAGGACCTGCCCTGCTGTTCAACCCACAGTTATATAAATCATGTTCTGGATGCAGATCAGCTGATCCCAGAAACTCTGTGCAGCAGCTTCATATCATCTGTTTACTGAACTTTATGACAACATAAAGRCTATTGTTAAGTGTTGGATGACCATATTGTAAATTAATATTAAAAACTAAAAGCTGCAAAAAATATATTTTCAAACTATTTATTGGCAAATTTAGTCTAATAATTGAAAACATGGATGAAATATGAAACAAATAAAATAAAATACATACAAAGCAGAAAACAGCTAATTGTATCAAAAGTATGTCTGTAATATTAGAATTTTCTGAGACAATGAATTTTTTTTTCTTTACCAGTAAGAGGTTTTTATTTAATAGAATTTTTGGACCAAAAATATCGCAATATATCGCCTTGTTTACAGTATCGAAATATATCGGGATATATCGCGATATATCGTATCGTGACCCCTCTGTCATGATATGTATCGTATCGCCAAATTCTTGCCAATACACAGCCCTATTATTTGAGCTAGTGCTTTAGGGCTAGTGCAACTAATATTTACATTATTGCTGCCCACCACTGACTTCAGTACACTACATTTTACTAAGGGGAGTTAATATTCAGGAGTGACTGAAAGTGTGGGACATCGACAGACTAACACTCGTGATGTTCTCCAAAGACAGGAGAAAAAAATGAACAGAAAATCCAGGACAAAGCTTCTGAAAACAAACCTTTTTGACCCAGAAAAATCTTTTCACACACAGACACAGATGTGTGTACAACCCTCTTACAGAGGAAAATATTCAGAAAACACACACACACACACACACACTGAGGCAGCACGTTTACAAGTCTCCCGCAGGAATACTAATCCTCTGCCAGCAAGACTGTGTCTCCATGGCAACAGAGTCAAGAAATGTGTAAACGTGGAGAAAATGGTCTTTTTGTCCACAACAAGAGTCAGAAATATGAGCAGGAAAATGTTTTTACTTCACTTAAAGACAAGGACAGACTGCTGTCTCTTTAAGAACCAATAAGTCACCAGAGGAAGGACAGAATTCCTTCAGTGGTAACAGGAACAGTTGAAAATCAGCCTCTCAGTTTAATGAATGTGCAGCACACAAACAGGAAGTGACCATTTTTACACATGAAATCCTTCCTTACACTGCTGAGACTCACCACATTTTACTGCACCAGTTTAAACCCTTCAGGATGAACTCAGGAAAAAAATAAACTTTAGTGTAAATTCATGAACTGAACTTGAACACAAAGCTTGAAGCCAGCGAGTGCACACAGCGCCTGGCTGTCAGACTACAGTCTGTGGTTGTGTGTCAGACTACAGTCTGTGGTTGTGTGTCTCTCTTTAACACCTCTCCAGGGAGGAGACATTCCTGCAGACTCACAGACTGGAGGAGACAGCAGCAGCCTGAAGTCCTGCGTTGACGTGTGTTCAGGCAGGGTGTGAGTCAGCAGGACCAGGTCAGGTATATGTCCTATAAAGGTTTCAATGTAGTGTTGTACCTACAGTCACAACACTCCACTCTGTACTAAAACAACCCTACTGCACCTGTTGCTAAAACAACACCAAACCATTTTAATTCAAATAATTAAAGGTGTGGATGCAACAGCCTGAAGACAGAGGTTTACTGTCAGGCAGCAGAACAGTGGTTACAACTGTTGCCTCACAGCAACAAGGTCACAGGTTTGCCCCCCAGCTTTTCTGTCAGACTTACCCCTAATTTACACTACATGCGTTCCGGCTCCGCTCCACTCCGGTCCGACCTCCGCAGCAAATACACACCCATTATAATCAATGAGAGTGTTTACACTGGCTGCGCACGGCGGTGGTGAGCGGACAGTGATCTGGCAAAATTAGAACAGATCATATTTTTGATGGAGCTGCGCCGGAGTCAATTTTTAAAGATTACATCGCACCAACAGGAAGATAAACGAGCACAACATCCGTATTTTCAAAATAAGACACTATTAGGTGGAATAATTTGTCTGAATAATGTCGAAATCCCAGCTATATTAATAAATATATGGATGTATTTCTACACAAATGCTGTCAGAATGTATCGTTCTGTTTGGGAAGCAGATGGAAACGTAGCATGAAGCATATGTGTACACACACGATACACGTGGATTTTATTTTGAAATCAGAAGTTTCAGAAAGCCGACAGCGAGAAAGTTTCAACCATAGATACCAAAAGCCTTTATATCATTGTTTTCAGCTGTGCAGTATTTAACTGTACATGTTCTTATATTTAAGTTAAACAATCCTGTAACCCACTGGTATATAATAAATGGGACATACTGTTGTTGACTATTGTTTACAGTTTGAGCTGATCAAGACTTTAAGATTCCACAAAACAAAAAAAGTTATAAAAATATATACGATTCATTCTGACATTGTTTTGGGTCGGTATCGGCCAACATTCAAAGCTCCGATATCGGTATCGTATTGGAAGTGAAAAAGCTGTATAGGGACAGCCCTAGAGTTCACGTGTGCTCTCCATACACAGGTGGGTTTTCTCTGAGGACACTGGTTTCCTCCCACAGATCAAAACACACATGTTAGGTTAACTGGTAACTCTAGGAACCCAGAAAAGAAAAGCTGGACAAGGAGCATCTCCTTCCACAGCACTGGGAAGAGAATTGATTGATGTATTAGGTTTATGTCAGGGAGGGATAGACACAGGTGTGTGGTTACCATGGTAATTAACGAGGAACTGGCAGCAGCTTCCTTTCACATTTCTTTTGATCTTGGTTCTCTTTATTCTTATGTCAAAGCACCAGCATGTCAGTTCACAGTAAGAAGCTCTAAGAAGCAAACTAATAAATCAAACAGTGATTTAGAGTAAAAAGAAGTGTAATTACACTTTCAAACACTTCGAAAATTCACTTTAAACCTTGAAAACAGTTTTTATTTCAAGGGAATTTTAAGAACAAATGAACCCTGGGCGTGAAATCACAAACTGATTACAGTCGTTTGTGTAAAACGTAGTGATAAAACATGCAGGATTTATTGAACACATCAAGTTTAAGTTGGAGAATGATCAGTATGTGAACCACATGTTCAGAATCAATGCTTTTTCTTCCACATTTGTTTCTCATTTTCAGACTTCTGGAAAAAACAAAACAAAAACAATAATGTGAATGCTGAATCAACAGAGAAAACATCCTAATTAGTAAGAAACAACACCCTCAGTGTTTAACGAGTTCAGTTACCCACATTATACTTTTTAACAGCTCCACCACAGAAGTTTCTGCTATTTTTTAATCAGCCTCAGGAAAAGAAAGACCATCAATAACATGGTTTGTTATTTGTAATGTAATTCTAAAAAGTAATAATAATTCATTCAAAGCAAAGAAAACTACAATAACAAACTGAATTTGTTTGTGTGAAACATCCATCATGGAGTTATAACATCCATCCATCATGGTGTTATAACATCCATCCATCATGGAGTTATAACATCCATCCATCATGGAGTTATAACATCCATCCATCATGGAGTTATAACATCCATCCGTCAAGGAGTTATAACATCCATCCGTCAAGGAGTTATAACATCCATCAGTCATGGAGTTATAACATCCATCCATCATGGTGTTATAACATCCATCCATCATGGAGTTATAACATCCATCAATCATGGAGTTATAACATCCATCAATCATGGTATTATAACATCCATCCGTCATGGAGTTATAACATCCATCCGTCATGGAGTTATAACATCCATCCGTCATGGAGTTATAACATCCATCCGTCATGGAGTTATAACATCCATCCATCATGGAGTTA